TTTTCTTTTCTTTTTTTCTTTCCGCTTCATTACACCGACTCTTTCCTCCGACAATTTCAATTTAACCTAGTGACTTCAATTTTTTCCCGTCACCTTCCCTACCACGACATTTGCCGACCGTCAACGATCGCAATTGTTTGTTCTTGGCCCCAAAGACCTACCTGCTGCTCTTTCCTTCCTTTTCTAATGCAAGTGCTAACAGCATCAGCGTTTCTTTTAGTCAACCCGTCTGCTTACTTTGCCCTTGAAAGACGACATTGCTTGACTTTCCCCAGCGTGCTACTGTGACAGATGGAATTTTATCACTGTTCTCACCCTGGCAACCATAACCAACCATTTTTTCTTTCGAGTTTTTATTGTTTTATCTCTTCGATTTAACTCGCTATTTTTTAGCTTTACACAGGCGTGTGCGTGTATGCAAATATGTGTGTGCGTATACGCTGTTTATCCAAGTTGATTTTTATGCGTGTTTCTTTTGGTGTTCTTCACCCTTTTTCGCCTTAGCAGTCAATATAGCTGCTTAATAATGGACGGCCGCTGAATCTCATGGGATCGCTAGGATAATCCAAACCCATTTTGTTAAAATATTTATTTCTATATTTTTTAGCTTTTTCATTCTGTTCCATATTTTCCCTTTCCCTTCTTATTGGTGTTTGTACCCCTCGTTGCCCATAGAAGTAACTAATTGCAATATTTTTAACAGAAATCAAGCCATTTAACGGTTTCAGCGATGTCGTCTGCTTTCTCCTAACATATGGACGACAACATGGCGCTGTAATCTTGCCGACGTGCAGATACCATCTCTCAGCAATATCACATATACAGAGAACATTTTCTTCTTTTTTTTTTGCTGATGTTATTTAATTTTGTCTTTGTTAATTTATTTAATTAAGCGTTCATATCGAGTTGTGTTGCGTAAAATGCCATCGTTGCTCGGTAACGAAGTAAAAGTGTTGCAAGCCTGGGTGAGTCGTTTCATGGTGGACAGACTGTGTAACAGGTGTAGTGCTTGCTCTGTAAACACTTCAGCTATTTTAACATAACTGAATCGCGTGGATTTCCGTTGCGGACTCAATAATCACAATTTATCAGTTATACGCAGACAGGCAGATGCAATTTCGAGATCAGAGCGCCGACGATAATTTGAAGTGTGATACCCACACTTTTTGAGAGTCAGGCATACGTGTACTGTGGACAGTCGGAAACGGTTATACACGATTTCTTTGTTAGCCGGTGCAAGGTTAGACAGTGTGTTCCGTTACTTTAGGGTCCTTTATCAGTCAAATTTAAGCACCTGTTTCCCGCTTAATTTTTAAAAAATATTTCAACATACATTCAGGAGGGAAATAAAAGTATATTAATGCAATCTTTTTTGCATATATGCATGCATATGCACACATATACACACAAAGTGAGACAAATGAAGAAAGACAGCAAATAAAGCTAACGCAGTGAAATTGTGCTTACAAAACTGGTCATGTAGAAAAATTGCATTGGACTGAGTTCGATAATGTCTGGAAATCAGTCTCCAGTGGCTTAGTACTATACTATATTGAAACTAGTCAATAACTTTATACAACGCTTTTCTCTCTCTCTCTCTATTCTACTCGCTCGCTCTCCCTCTCTCTCTCTCTCTCTTACTATAGATAGTTTCAGTTTGAAGAGTGTCGCATTTATTAAAAGAGAACGCAACTTATTTAGACTGAAAATTATTGAGAATGTCGTTGTCAAAACTGACCAAAATATAAATATGCGCTCTGAATTTTTCAAATAACTCCTTTCCTATAAAGATATACACCTTCCCCAAACCAACAAACATGACTATAAGAATTTAAAAAAGTAAAAGAAAAAAAAACGGTTAAACTCTAAACCTTCTATTATTGAAAAAATATAAATACATAAATTAATTTCTGAAACTAAACTAACATAAATAATTACTACATAAAAACATTAACACAACAAAAACTCACTTTCATTTATTAGACATTAAATTACATCACTTAGCATCCTCCATAGTTTAACTCGACTTTCAGTTAGCCTAAAATATATTTATGTGCATCCTTAAATTTAAAAATTCTGTAAAACCAACAAAATTTTTATTTCTGTTTATAAATATTTCTTGCAAAATAGCATTATAAATTTACCTTGATAAAGTCCATAAGAGAATGAAAAGCGATGGCTAAAATAAGTTTTCCTTCCATCTTTATTCATATGTATATATGTATGCGTATAATTTATATGGAATTAATGGATATTAATCCAATGTCCGCTATTTTTTTTCTTATTGCTATACACGATGTGTACTTCGTGGATGTATGTTTTTGACTCGACGTTCCTGTTTTTAAAACAGTATATTTTCGTCTTCCGGCCTAAGTTTTACAAGAGTGTTTAATAAAGAAAATTGATTCCCCTTATGTAGTGTAAAGTTTTATAGAGACTGGTATGCTTTTAGACTGTCTCCGTCAAGAAGGATTTAACAGCAAGCAAGGATGAAATATCGTTATGAAGAAAAGAATATCTCTCATTAAGCACTTTCGTGGATCATATCTACTTTTTCCTTATCCGAAAAGTAAGAAAAGGCGTTTTTTTTTCCAGAAATTAATGAATTTTTTAACATAATCTGATATTATTTACTATATAAACTATATTTAATGGATACACGTGTTTTCGTAGGTATTTTTGTCTTGTTTCGCAGTAGTTAAAATTGATATCAGCCGGCCTGAGCAATAGAACATCTTATGAAAGAAAAGGTAACACTCTAGAGCAGACAAAGCGGCATTCCTGGGAAAAAAAGATATTTCAGCTAGGAATGGTCAACCACAAGAGATTCCTACAGTAAAGCAAGGCACCATTAGCCTTTTATGAAATGCACATCTCTTCTCGGGACTCTTTAAAGCCTGTATCTGTTAACTTCATTTTCGTACACCAAAGAAAAACTCAATATATCATTAAAGAGTTCGGTAATAATTTATTTCAGACAGATAAATGCTTCATCAGACTGGAGTTATAAAATGGTTTAAATTATCCGGACAACTTATTGAAAATTATAAGTGAAAATGAATAAAAAATTTGACCTATAAAAATCCTTGAAGAGATAAGAGGAAGTGAGGGAGAAGAAAAACAAAACGGTGTCAACCCAACGAGCGGAGTTGGTAGAAGGAATATAAAGTTACAGCCAATGAAATACGTTGAAAATAATTCAAATTTATGTTCTCATCATGATCTAATCGAAAAAAATTATAATCATATATATATATATATATATATATATATATATATATATATATATACGTGTGTGTGTAAGAACGTGAAAAGTAAAATATATCTCTACACATTGAATTCACATGTGCATACACACATACATACATATGCACAAACAGATAGATATGCATATAAGCACATACATATATACATATAACTACACACATGCATGCGCAGATGCATACATATATGCCCCCCATATATATATATATATATATATATATATATATATATATATATATATATATATATATATATATATATATATATATATATATATATATATATATATATATATATATATATATATATATAGATATATATATATATATATATATATAGAGAGAGAGAGAGATAGTGGATACATGTATTTTAAGTAGATATCCCTGTTTCTTAAACACTATAATTCAATGACAAGCTGTCTGGGCATACGAGTGTCTTAATGAAGAAAATATGCACAACGGGCCTGATGTCAATTTTCACACAACAAAAGCCGTACAGTTGTTCGAACCCTGCTAAAAGGCATATGCTTTTGATTAAGATTCTCGAATGCCAAGTCCAGGGGTCATTCAATTATACTTTTTTAAAACCAGGGATGTTTACTCAAAAAACGTTTACCCATTAATAATAAATTTTATAGTATTAGATAATAATGTCGAATTTTAAATATTATTCTATGAATTCCCTAAAAATTACGTGTACGAAGGTCGGCTGAAAAGTTCATAGCCTGACCAGAATATAAACATAAGTAGACACTGAACGACCAGCTCTTGTATTCTGGTCCACTTGCATGTCTCTTAGTCTAACAACTTCTGTGTCAACTTACATTTATATCTTGGTCAGGCTGTGAAATTTTCAGTCGACCCTCGTATATACTGGGTGCGATGGATAAATTTTCGCCTAAGTTAGGCAAAAATGAAAATAACTTTGACATTTAATTTTGACAGATATATTTACCAAAATTACACAAAAATTTCTTGAAATACTGAAGAGTAGGTTTATTAACTAAAAACGCCATTGACCTCAACCACGGTATCCAGACGACTTCGGAATCTCCTGCAACTCTTCTACACGGTCTCCTTGTTTAAGTTGGTGAATGTTGTCATTGTCTTGCCTTCAGTTCATCTTTGGTGTAATAAGGAGTTTTGTTGGTCTCACGTTCAACTGAGCCTCCCACATAATAATCAAGGGGTTTCAGTCTGGGAAGTTAGGTGGCCAAATGTAAGAGATGATGTGGTCGCAGAAATTGTTTGACAGCCATGACTGGGTCCTTTTTCTTGTGTGACATGGTGCAGAGTCCTGTTGCCCGACATAGGGACTTCTAGCAGCTAATTTCTTTAACCAGGGAAGCACTACCTCTTCATGGATCGTGTTAAGTCTGAGGCACTCACCAACAAATTCAGGAGTGTATTTCTTATCAGAAAGATCAGAATGAGTTTTCTTAGCTGCTTTACCTTTGTAATCACCATTAGACTCATCCAACTCTTTCCAAATCCTCTGTGCTGTTCTCAGATTGACACCCAAACACTCATAAATATTCGTATTGGAGTTTCTGGTGCGAATGCCAAGCAGTACAGTATACCGTTTCCAAATTTTTGACGGAATGAATTCGGTCATGGTGCTCTTTTTCTCACAGGTGGTGTCCAACTGACCATACTCTACTGTGCCGTCGAAAACTTAAAAAAAAATTATAACGCGAAATAGTAGTTCCTATGTGCTATTAAGACTGAACATGCTGGTGTGAACCATGGAAATGATTTCGGTTTCACTGGATATTTTCGAAAAGGAATAAAAGCGTCCATGCCCGCTTTGATTTAAGAAGAAATCTCAGTTGCGCAATTTTCAATTGGGAGTTTGAAGATATCAGTCCAAGTAATGAGTCCCAGTCAGCAATCTGATATCGGAAAGAGGTCTTATAAATAGGGGATTCTTGTTTAATGGACGCTTGGAATGAGATATCCATAGCTAACACAGAGTGGTCCCAGTTACCAAGATGGCAGTACTGTGAAGCTTGGCAATAGCTGAGA